ATATATATATATATGCACATACACGTAAATACAATAGTATACATAACATCCAGAGATGTTATTTGATTGTAAATTGTTCTATCAATCAACGATATAGTTAATATTGTAATAATATTTTTAGTATTGTCGATATTCGATAGTCAAAATATTTTTTTTTTTTTACCAAATTAATTTTATAACTTTGTTATATCTCTGGATAAATTATTCATTCGACACTTCAGATTATATCTCATACAATAGCAACAGCATAGAACCGATCGCATGCGCGTCTAACTACTACGCGATTCGTTTCACGCAAATACAATATTACCGATAGTTATATAATGTTACGGATTATTGGCGCGGGGTTTCTCCCCCCGTCGTATAAGCATATTACTACAAGGTCTCCCTCGATGGTTATATGTCGCAATTCGACGATTTAAGCATTTTACCGAATTTATTTGTTTCTATACATACATATAGTGTATTAGTTGGTTAAAGGCATTTGGTTAAAGTTCAAACTTAAAGAAAAATGATTTTTTTTCTTGCGAATTCCAACATCATTTTCAACTAATAATCATCAACTAATAATCCGGATGAAACTATTTCTTTATTCAATCAGAAATCAGAACATATTTTTAGCGATTTTCATTTCGCTATAGTCATGTATGGTTAATTAATGCAAAAAAAAAAAAAAATGTGATCTGAATTAGAAAGCATTTTAAAGTTGAAGAAAATTAAGAAAGTAAATTGATAAACAGATTTCAAATTGAGATTTCACTCAAGATTGCTGGAATAAAATTGAAATTCTTTTTCTAGAATTAAACAAATGTAAGTATGTATTATTAATTTATTCTTATTTTGACTGTGGTGGTTGCTATTGTGAATTTATAAAAATATAATATATTCAAGTGGCAAATGATATTTATTTCTTTAAGCTCTAAATTATGTTATTGTTATTTTTTTTATCTTAATTTTTATTCTAAATATTTGAAACTATTTAATATACTATTCAAATAATAGATACTCTAAGTATAAATATATTTTTTTTTAATCACAAAATATTAATAAATAGTTATAATTAAATAGTTATAAAAAAACATAAAATTCAAATAATTTATATTTTATTTGTTTGATTATTATTCAACTTTTGTAAAAATTAATTGTAAAAATAGATTTGTTAAAAAATGATATAAATTTCAGTTTAAAAATAAAAAAAAAATGTTTGAGAATAATTATCATGTATGATAAAATTATTCTTTGAAAATGTCATGTCTTTGATGAGTACTAATTTTTTAGTATCTCAAATTCTAGGATTCTAAAGAAGATTCATGATGATATTTTAATATAAACGATATTAAAAAAATATTAAAAAATTATATTAATTATATAAAGATAAAAAAGACTGGTTATGCATTATATACTTGAATGAATTATATAAATTTATTTATTTTTCCATATTTCATTGAATTATTGCGATATTACTGTGATAATATGAATAATAATAATATTCGCGATAATATGTTTATATGCTACAAATAAATAAATATATTCGGTTTTCAAAAATCTCATTTGCTAATTTTTAAATAATCTTAGAATATAAAGAATAGAGAAATAATATTATTTTCTTTTTTTTTGCAGCGGCGATAAAGATGCGCTTGACAAAAAAGAGAAGGATAAAAAGAAAGGTAAATACTTAAAATATTTGTGAAAGCAATCGAAACGATTTGTAATTGATTTATATTTTTTCAATATTTCTTTCTCTTTTAATATGTATCATTTATGATTAGAAGTTTCTAAAAAATCACTTTCTAAAAACATCGATTTGAAAATTTTGAAAATAAAAAATGTATAAATCATTATTTAAATTTTTCTAAACCTAACTTTTTTCTAAAGCGTTTTCATATAATTTTAGAAAACGCCGTCCAACCGCATTGCCGCATCACGCTGAAATGCACCCGCGAGGTGAGTGACTTGTTCCATCCGTGCTTATATTTAACCTTAGTCTCGTGAAAGAGGAAAGAAATGGGATTGGTTCGTTAAAAAAGAAACTTAAAAGGAAATAGGAAAAAGAAAAAAAGAGAAAGGAAAGAGAAGAAGAAAAAAAGAGAAAGAACGAAGAGGAATAAAAATTGAAATTGAAATGAAAGAATAAGAAGAAGCAAAATCAAAAAAAGGGAAAGTAAGAGAGGAAGAAAGAAAAATATTATTATTGATTGGTTTTTTCTTCTGTTTGATTGCAAATATACATATAATTGTTAAGGTTGAATCACGGGCGCGGGCTATATCTGATGCATGCATATTCAGAATGGAGAAAAGAGAAACGATCGCGATGCGTATCTCTTTAAATTCGTAGATCGCTGGTTTCAACGGTTTAAGCGATGCTCTGAAACGGCTGGACTTTTTATCCGCGGTACATGATTGCCGGCGATTCAATTACATCGTGCGACTGTTGGATCTTTTGGTCAGTCACAGAATGGGTGGTCTTAGCGGATGTGCTCAACGAGTTCTTTTTAATATGTTGGAAGAAGTTGCTTTGGAAGGTAATGAGATTTTAAATATTAAACGAATTATTTTCTTATGTATTTTTTAATATATGTTCTTATAATGTATGCTTGACAGTATCATTATCACAGCAACAAACTGGAAAACTTCGTCGATTGATCGAAAGAGTACGAGCTTTCAGCGCTAGTTGTTGTTGGGGTGGCAGACCTTTGGGTTCTGTAGTATTATGGGAGAAACATAAAGCTGCTTTAGAGAGAATATTACAAAT